GTCCGCAAAAATTTAAATTTCCCGCTCCCCTCTCCCGCCCTCCTGTTCGCAGCTCCATACACGAGTTACGCTGCGTACACCGCGCTCACCACACAGGCCGGACACACGCCCGCAGAGCTGCCGCCGCGACTTCCAAGGGTTCAGAAACAGGTAAGGGGGACCTGTTTTAAAGTTTCCTGTTTTTAAAAAAAAAAAGCGGCACACTGCAGAACACAGCTATAGATGAACACCAAATCCCAGCAATAATATATTAAGCAGCCTGTATAATGTATTATTGCTGGGATTTGTAGTCCTCTGTAACTGCTGGTATTCTGCATTAGTGTATAGTGTGCGCGCCGGGGGGCGGCAAAATGCACCTTCGCCTGAGTTGGCAAAAATCCTTGCACCGGCCCTGGATCTACAGCCGAGTGATATAAATATATAAGTGATATAAAAGTTACATTTTGTTACTAGTTAAGGTACTGGAATGTATTTTTAAGGTTTAACTCCGGAGTTTAGTGTCACTTTAGTATAAAGAGCTTGGAGCGCTGGCTACTATACAATCAATTTTACAACAATCTACACAGAAAAATTAAATGTTTTTTTAAATGTAGGAGCCATATCCAAGCTCGCTCCCAGGACTACAATCTCACGTTTAATTTTCCAATTTGTATTGAGATTGTAGTCCATCCTGGGAGCGAGCTTGGAGCGGTGACTACTTTACAAGACACACAGGGACCATGGAGAACAGAAGTAGCCCCCCTCCAGAAGGAAGGACAGTGTCAGCACCAATTCAGAGATGATTGGAGGATCTACAAATAAGATACATTGTTGTTCAGAGTTGAGATACCTGAATGTATTTTTAAGGTTTAACTCCGGAGTTTAGTGTCCCTTTATAACTGGAGGCCATGCGCTGGGTGTGGAAGTTTGACCTCCACCGATCATCGGAAAGAGGTTCTTCATTCTTGATTATTGAATCTTGTTGTGTAAGCGGAAACCTTCCCGAAGATGATGACTCGTCTATTCGAGGCGCTCAGCTTGTTTTGAAGGCATTCCTGGCATTCCTGTCATCGGTTATTGTATTTTTTTATTACTACAGGATGCCAGTGCTTTGTGTGAAGTTGGGTTTCGCAATGAGGAAACATGGGACTGCTTTTCCACCATCATCCAACACCTAGCTGTATAATAAAGCGTCCTCGTCACTGTGTATATAACAAACCACAAAGCCCAACCAGATCTTCAGCTGAAGATTAAATACATTCAGGGTGCAACAAAACAAAAGGTGTTCCAAGTCTTATAGTTTATGTGCTTTAGAAAGCAGCCACAGTCAGCAGAGAGGCTGCTGCTTCCACACAGGGAAAGGCTCCTTCTCTGCAGCATGCTGGCAGCGGACGGGCTTTTCTACTCAGCATGTGGCTACATTGTATAGAAAAGCAACTGTTAGGCCTCATTCGCATTTACGCCCATATGTGCGTGTAGCCCCTATATAGTTATATACATGTGCTACTATGAGATGTGGATTCTGACTATGAACAGTTAAATGCCTCTGTGTGGAAGAAAAGGCGGAGACTTGCGGAGATTGTAGTACAGAGCAGATATGGATACATTGCTGAAAGGACATTGAGAACTACATCACCCAGGGTGCTGTGCGAGAGGAAGCAGGGGGACTAGGGGCTGCAGCTACCGAGCGCGCTCAGTCTGGGACCGGGACCTGAGTTGTCGAGATCTTTGTGAGAGAATGTGGATTGAGACGGCCTGGAATAGAGCTGTGTGGTCGCTTCTGACAGACCGGGACACACAGGCTCTGGACCACGGTGTATAAGGACTATTGCCGGTTGCCAGCAACAGAAGAGACGGAAATTAAGTGCCTACACCGAGGCCTAGTGACGCGTCATCGGCGGAAGTATCGCTGCCTGGTCGTGTAGCCGATCCGGCCACTGGAGTGACCGAGTCAGCCCAGCTGTGTGGAGCCAGCGGAGATCGTGACGGAGACCCCAGATGACCCTAGAAGAGTGGTGATGTGTCCCAGGAAACCCTAGACGAGCGGTGATGTGTCCCAGGAAACCCTAGACGAGCGGTGATGTGTCCCAGGAAACCCTAGACGAGCGGTGATGTGTCCCAGGAAACCCTAGACGAGCGGTGATGTGTCCCAGGAAACCCTAGACGAGCGGTGATGTGTCCCAGGAAACCCTAGACGAGCGGTGATGTGTCCCAGGAAACCCTAGACGAGCGGTGATGTGTCCCAGGAAACCCTAGACGAGCGGTGATGTGTCCCAGGAAACCCTAGACGAGCGGTGATGTGTCCCAGGAAACCCTAGACGATGCTTGAATACATTACATATTGCACCCGCCCTCTGCTGCTGTCAATCACTAGAAGGGGACCGGATGGAGAACTTCAGGTCCCCCTCTGCTGATTGGCAGCATCAGAGGGCGGGTGCAATAGCTAGTTTGCCATTGGCTTTTGCAAAGTAAAATAGCCAATAGGAATCTAGCTATGCATTCCTATGGTGGGTTGTTTTTTTTCTGACTTACGGCGGCCCCCGATTTAAAAAACAAAAACAGAGCAGAGAAAGGTCAGGGAGACACAGTTTCAAAACACCGGGAGAAAGTGTTTCTCTCCCGGCGGCCAAGAGCCACTAGGCGACCCCTGGCAAATCGTCATTCGACCCCCGAGGGGGTCCCGACCCACAGGTTGAGAACCACTGGTGTAGCGGGACAGAAAGATCCCGTTACTACCAGCGGCTCCTACGGGGGTAGCGCTACATGCGTATTGCACCATATGCAACATATGCAAATAAATGGCTCCATACACAGCTGCGTATGGAGCCGTATATTTGCGCAGCGTAAAAATGCGCAAAAACAGAATGGAACCGAGATGCGTCCGAGCAACGTATTTCTGCGTATTTTATGCGCATATGCAT